CTCGGGCGCCATAGACCTCCATTATTTGAATGTCAGCAGACAGCAAGAAGCCTCCCAGATCTAAAGCAAGATGCCATTAAAGATAAAAATACAACTGATAATATAAAAAGAATGTATATAGTACAAAAAAACCATAGAAAAAAGTTGTAATGTCCTGGAATATGTTTCCTTAGATATAAAAATATCTAAAAAGTAGAGGGCTAAGGGAAGACTACACAGTAGTTGATTTGGATTATTGCATTTGTGCTGCAGAGATGTACTGAGTCTGCTAAAATGCTAAAATAAAAAAGGTACGAGTCTAGTATGCTTAGTCATTCGTTGCCTCTCATTATCAGCAGTTCCTCTTTCTTGGTACATGAATTAACAATCTCACATCCTATTTACTGTTTCAGATCTCCTCCCAAACATTTTGACTCCTTGCTTTCACTCGTCTTTCATCTTTTAGTGTCCTCGGCTCATTTAGCTCAGCCTCCATCCTCATGTTTTCATCTATAGATGCAACAAACTGTAGTTATCAAATAAAATGGACAGAAATGGAATCCATGGTGCCTCCTGTTGATTATTAAACTGCTTTTAGAGATCATATGAATCCCGTAATGAGCAATTAATCTATAATCAGGGTGACAGAACCATATAAAGGTGGAATGTGAGTGGGCTTTATATTAGGATTTGCATTTTGAAAATAAATATCAAATCCTTGAACTCTGCTTTAATCCTTTTATGATGTATCTATGCAGCTGCATGGCTTTAAATGTATGCAGAAACCTTGCAAAGTCTTAAATTTAAGGTAGTGTATGTGTGGGGGGGCTGTTTTCAAGCAAAAGGTAAATTTAACGCTTTCTTTTTCAGCAATGAACATGTCTGTCAGTGAAAATAAACAATGTAGGAAGCAACAACCTGTTTTGCAAATGCTGGATCCCTATTGGCCAAGAAGGTTTGATATGACAGGCTTGTACTGGGTCCTAAAGCCGACGGTTTATTCCATAGATGGGTCAGTAAAGACAAGTAGATTTTTGTTTTATATATAAAAAGTGTTCTACATTATGTTTGAAGGATAAGAAATAAAACTTTTTCTATTGCTGCTCATTACAACCACTGTTTTTTTTTTTATATCTAAATAATTTATATTTTCTACTGGAATATATATGTGAACCACTGAAATGTGCTCCTATTTTTTTTATTTGTGCATGAGCTTCGAACTTACTGCTATTTATATGTGTTATATAAATAAATAGATTTTCAAAAACTGTATTTAATCAAAATTATATATGACCCCTTCCTAACCGAACTCACTGTTGTTTTTGGATGTTAAAAAAATGGTTCAGTAAAAAGATTTAAAAAAAAAATCAAGGTACTAATACAAATAAAGATACAATATAAGAATCAAATGAGTAAATCGTTAAACAAAATTCAATAATAAAATGTTTTATTAAACATCCTGCATAAATGTGTAACTTTAGATTCCATTTAGACAGCATTTTAGCCTTTGGCTAAACCTGAGTCACTTGTTTTTTGGGTTAAAATGAAAAATGTCCCTCCTTTTGTACACCTTAAAAACATGCTGATTAAAAAAAGGGAAAGATTCAAAAACATCTGGGTCTCCATTGTTGTGTTTTATGTGAAAAAACATAACCTTCTGCTTATATGATGAAGCCCTAGCCATGCATGTGCAGTCCTATAACTTCATGCATTAAAGGTTAACACAACACAATTTAACATCAACAGCGGCGGTTTTTAAACTCTGCGTCACCTGAAGCTCTAGTTAAACTGTTTTAAATTTTAGCCCCTGTTTATCAAACTTTATTAAGTGATGATTCCTTTTTTAAGCTGTAATGTTAATAATAAGGCAGCATGAAGGACATGCTGGCTTGGACTTTTTTATGTTTTTTATGTTAACAGGAATTTTTTTTGTTTTTAACTTTTCTTATTTTGTACGTAGACTGTAGAAAACAAACCGGCCGTTTTTGAATCTCGTTCCTCAACCCTTAGTGTTTTACTTTTCTCCACTTTAAGACACTTATTTCTTATGATTGCTGTTTAGCAAAACCCTGATAATCAACCATCAGATGAGACCAGGTGTGTTGAAGCAGGGAAACCTCTGAGACATGCAGGAAAGTGTTCTTTGGAGACCAGGGTTAAAAATCACTGCTTTAACACTCAAATCAGATCAGTTTCTCCGGAAGAAAACTTTTAGATACCAAGATCACATTTTGTTTGTTGTCTTGCAATGAATACAGAAAAATAACTAGTGTACAGATGGCCACTGTCGCCTACGGAGGAACCGCCATGTAAATACAGGATTTCACAGCAGATTCCAAAAGTCCTGCAAGCAGAAAAATGAGACTAGCAAATTTAAGATGATAGAGTAGAAAACACAAAAACTAGAGATTAGAAAAGTGCAAACACATAAATGATGCTAACACACGTTAAGAAAAAATATAAGTGGCGAAAAACAGCTGTAAATAAAAATGCTAAGGCAGAGGAGGATCAGTACGAAAGAGGATTATAGCCAACAGAAAAAATAAAGAGTTAACCGATTTTGATTTTAGTTTAATATGGGTTAAAAGTCATAATTCTGACTTTAATCTGAGAACTCTGGCTTTTTTTTCCCTTATAGATCTGAGATTAAAGTTAGAATTCTGACTTTAATATCAGAATTCTAACTGTTTCACAGAATTCTGATTTTTTCCCACAGAATTCTGACTTTAATCTCGAATTTATTTTCCTCAGAACTCTAACTTTAATCTGGAAATTCTTTTTCACAGAATTCTGATTTTTTTTTGCAGAATTCTGAATTTTTTTCTCATAGTTCTGAGATTAAATTTAGAACTGACTTTATTTTCGAAATTCTTTTTTCTCAGAATTCTGACTTTAATCTCGAATTTATTTCCTTAGAATTCTAACTTTAATCTTGGTATTTTGACTTTCACAGAATTCTGATTTTTTTTGCAGAATTCTGAAATTTTTTCTCAGAGTTCAGAGATTAAATTTAGAACTGACTTTATTTTCGAAATTCTTTTTTCTCTCAGAATTCTGACTTTAATATTAGAATTCTGAGAAAAAAGGTCAAAATTCCAACTTTTTCAACGAATTTGGATTTTTTTCACAGAATTCTGAAATTTTTTCTCAGAGTTCTGAGATCAAATTTAGAACTGACTTTATTTTCGAAATTCTTTTTTCTCAGAATTCTCACTTTAATCTTGGTATTTTGACTTTTTTTCTCAGAATTCTACATTTTTCACAGAATTTTGATTTTCTTTCCACAGAATTCTGACTTTTTGCTCAGAGCTCTAAGATTAAAATCAGAATTCTGACTTTCCCCCCAAAATAAAATAAAAAATCAGTTAACTTTTTCGTTTTTCATTCTGTATTAATCAGACCACTAGAGGGAGCATTTTATTTCTTTGTGTGTTTTTTTGTGTTTGTATGTTAGTCTTAACTTTTGTATTGGCTAGTTTAAGTTTTGTTTTTGAAGAACTTTCTTATTCAGTGTGAAATAACCGTCGCTGGTAGCCTGTAATCCAATAATTAATGTTTTTATGGCTTATCTGTTTTTTTTTTTGGATCGTGGCTTGCAGTTTGGTTCTGAGCGGCAGGCGTTAGGACCTGGGAGCCTCCTCCTGCATGCAGCAGCAGCAGCCTGCCGCTACAGGAGGACCAGAAATCTGCAGCTCCCAGAATGAAGGGATCAAAATGATGCTGCCTCCAAAAAGGGATTAAACGTGAGCAATCAGCCGTCAGTTTGGGCTAAATCCGCTCATCTCCGCTTTTATTCTGCATGTTTGAGGGATTGCTGCAGAAATCCAGGAGGGTTCAGGTTTGATCGATGCGTCTGCATGCGAGCTGATGACAGATGCATCACTTTCTCTGAGCATCGCAGCGGATGCAGGAAGGCCTTTGATGCGATCTGTTGTCCGTGTTTAGTTCCCCGCGTGGCCGGCTGGAGGAGGACGCATTTAGGGGGGGGGGCGTGAAAAGGAGGCATGAGGTCGCTGAGCATCCGACGCGACGCCTGAGCGAACATGATGAAGACAGAATCCACATCCAAGAGCTCCGGCTCCACGCTCAGGAGCCCGTCCCCGCACAGGAACGCGTACGAGGCGGGGATGCAGGCCCTGAAGCCGCTGAAGGACGGCGCCGCCAACGGGGACGTGCAGGAGGGCCCCCGGGGCCGCAGGTACGGCTCCAACGTGCATCGCATCAAAAACATGTTCCAGCAGATGCAGACCACCACCGGGGGCGACGCGGAGGCGGAGGACGGCGGCAGGACGGTGCGGCTGTCCCTGCCCAGAGCCGGCAGCCTGAATGAAAACGTGGACCACAGCGCGCTGCTGAAGCTCGGATCCACGGTGTCCGAACGGGTCAGCAAGTTCGACCCCAAAGCGGAGAACCAGCGGGCCTCCTCCCCCAGCTACTCCAAGCTGCAGGAGACCCGCCGCATCTTCGAGCAGCAGCAGCAGGAGAAGCAGGAGAGGCTGGAGAAGCTGAGCACCACCAGGGTGCTGCTGAAGACCGACAAGGCCCCCGGCTTCCAGGACGGCAGGCTGGACATGGTGTCCCGCTTCAACGGCAGCACAGAGTCCCTGGACAGCCTGGACACCAGCGAGGCGGTGTCCCCCACGGTGAGCCAGCTCAGCGCGGTGTTTGAGAGGGCGGCTGAGCTCCGGAACAACCTCCACAGGCTCTCCTCCACCCCACCCCTCCCTTCCAGAGGGGTCAGCGCCAAGGTGGGGGTGCTGAACTCAAAGATCATCACCAAGAGGGTTAGTGCCTTTGCATCAGGCCACCAGGAGGACGAGATAAGCAATCAGAAGGGGAGAGAGGGGCCCCCCAGGGGCCTCAGAGGAAGGGTCACCCCCCCATCTGAAAGCATCAATGGAAGCAAGTGTCCCCCAACTGCTGAACATTCAGGAGAGTCCATGGACCAGAGGGAAAAGACTGTGGTAGACGTTGGCGTGGAGGCCAAAGAGATCGTCCAACGTGAAAATCTGCCTGAGGTCAAGGGGTCAAACGGCACAACCCTGCAAGGTGAGTCTGCGGAGAACGGGGAGGCTGCCGCAGAGGACAGGAGCTCTCAGAAGACCGATGAGACCCAGCAGGAGGAGGGGAAGGAGGACGAGGACGACAGGACGAGGAGCAAGGCGGACTATGACCTCGCCAACGTCAGCACCTGCAGCACCATGGGGGACGATTATGAAGAGAACCAGAGGGATGAGGAGGAAGATGAGCGCTACGAGCCAGAGTCCAGCTGTGTGGAGATTCCTGGGCTGCCTGCTGAGGAGGACCCCCCCCCTTCCAGGAAGATCCGCTTCAGCACCGAACCAATCAAGGTAAGGAGGGATGCAGCGGTCAGACACCTGATGCTACCTGAAAAATAAACACAGACACTAGAGAAGGTTTACTAAAAACAAATAACTAGCAGTACTTCCATTGAATATAAAACTTTACAAATAACACTAAAGGGTTTTTCATCAGAAATGACTAATCAACCACATCTGGATAGATTTGACATACAAATTCTGATGCATCTGGATCGTAACACTCAGATGGCCTTTGGTCTGTCTGCCTGCTGAGGTTTTTCAGCATTATACCAGATCTGCAACAAACCATTGAGCCTTGAAGTATCTTTTTAATGTTTAGTTTTAAATTTGAATTGGAATAGAAAGGATCAGAGAGGATCCTTTATTGCCGTTTGCCCTGCTCCTCTTCACCAACTGTATTTAATGCACCAAAAAGAACCAAAAGTGTGTCTGATCAGGTAAGGTTTATACCTAAATAAATCATTTAATATATCTATAGCTAAGCTGATACTTGCATTAATGCTTTAGTTTATATAGATGTAATTTAAGTGATTGTGTTTTATAAGAGAAACATCACATTTAGAACGTTTTAGATAAAGAAACTGCTAATAAAAGATGGTTTAATTCATTAACAGAAAAAAGACATCCTCTAAATCAGGGGTCTTCAAAGTTTTCCAGACCAAGGACCCCCAAACTGATGGAGCGGGGACCCCCTAATTATATATATTGTATGAAATAGTGTTACCGTATATCAAACTGGTCTTTTAGCCACTCTATTACAGATGGAGTAATGTAACTAAAGTAATTTCTCCCTGGGATTGTTAAAGTATATTTGATTCTGATTCCTGGTTGATGGGACAGGTGTTGTGAATAAAACGGTGCCCAGGTTGAAAGAGCGCCTGTGTGTCGCTGAATGTGTGCATTGATGACTGAAAAACATCTTTGCTTCCATTTATCTGTTTA